GGTCTAAAGTTTCGGTGCGTCGACTACATGTACGTACGGGAGCAGGCAGCTAATTCTTTATGGTGGGAGGACTAAAATAAGACAACATATTTAATATTTCATCGCAACACAACATCAGCAAAAATGTTCACCTCTCCTGGAAGGCTCGCGCTTGACGGTCAGGGAATCCCCCGTTGATCAGCCTCGACCAAGACCGCATCTGCCTGGTGGCCCTGCACGCCGCCGACTCGTGCGTGCCGATCTCGGACACACGCAAAAAATCCATATCGCGGACCGCGTGGAGGAGCATTGGTGTCGCAAACTACATGCAAATAGGGTCAGCACACAAGTGGGTCAGCAAGTGAGCCATCTACGTAGAAGTACATTTACCCACAGATCCGCGTAGGGCCTTGTTCGCCCCGTCCTTGTCCGACGGAACGGGAGGCTGCCCTTGCATCATGGGCACCTGGGTTTCGGGGGGTGCAAGTACGCGAACACGGACGGTGGGAGAGGTGGCAAGAGACACACGCGCGATACGGTCGTCAAGTTCAGCGCTGCAAGCCTGCAGGTGAACCCTGTGGGTTATAGGTGCCTCTGTTGTGTTGGTGCCGTCGCTATGGTTGAACGGTGCGGATCAAAGATGTGAAAAACACACTCGGCAAGATCCAAGGTGTTGGTAAACCGGTTTTGGCTACTATAAGAGGGGTGAAGCTGTAAACCAAGCCATATGGAAACATGCCTAAATATCCTGTTGGAATAAAACACTGAGACAACGGTAGAAGAACGATAAAAGAAAAAAAATGCCACGGGGCGAATAGTACCCGCGGTGTTGTCTGTTCTCTGCTGTGATGCACCTGCCATAGCACCCTAGAAGCAACACCAACAGCAAACCACATACTATTATACGACAAATCGGCAACCGCACACACGAAAATTCTCCCATAATGGAATGCCTGGGTTTGTGTGTGAATGCCCCTATCGGTAGGACAATTTTGACGTCAATGAAGAACATCCCGCTGGGGCTCGCACAAGAAACAGGGGTGGGGGGGTACGAAAAAAACTACGGTCATCCGGGCCTACGACAATGTATTTTTGGTACCCCGGCGGGATTTTTCTTTTCTTTTTGGGGGAGGGGGGGGGGTTGCACGGAGGGGGGCTACGACAAAGGATACTACGGTATCGTACAAAACAACGATCACTTGCCAACTGCGGGTTGACCAGCAGACCTGACCTAGCCACCACGCTCACATGAGCGATCAGGAGGCAGTCGTAAAGCTCATCCCCGGTCATTCCAGAGTTGATCTGCTTACGGTGAAGTGCCGGAGGCGCCGGTGGAGGCAGCGCGGTGCACGACCGAGGCAGCTCCGCCGCGTGAGAAGGCACCGGCAAGACCACCCGTGTGGGCCGAAGAGGTGCTGGCGGCATCGCGTCCGCCGCCCGTCACAGAGCTGCGCACGACCGAGGCAGCTCCGCCGCTTGACCGTCCACATGGGTCGAAGAGGTGCTGGCGGCATCGCATCCGCCGCCCGTCACAGAGCTGCGCACAACCGCGGCATCTCCGCCGCGTGAAGAGGAAGCGTCGCGACCATCCGCATGGGCCGAAGAGGTGCTGGCGGGATCGCGGCGGCTGTAGGACTGCCCTGCATGCCCGCCGCCCCTGGAAGGCAGGCGGACCGAGCGGGCGTCGTTGCCGCGCATCGTCGCCGGGAGAGGCCGCGGCGCGAGAAGGTCCACGCTGCCTGCGTCAGACCCCTCACCGCCGTTGTCGTCGTTGTCGAACCGGTTGGGGTCGACGGTCAGCTCTTCGTCCCTGGAGTCGTTGCCGGGGTCGCTCTCCGGGTCGTACTATGAACCGAACTCTTGCATGGGTTGGACGGCATCGTCCGAGTCCTGCATCCACGGGGCGACAGAGGTCGGGAACGGCGGAGGGTGCAAAAATGCATGAGTTGGTCGGATAGAGTGTGGTATGCTGTGGGCGGGAACTTTGCCGGCGCTATTTATTTGAACAAATGAACCATCTCGGGCCAGCCATGACGATCTACACCCAGAACGTGAGATACGGCCCACCCCAAATTTAAAACTCCTGCAGAAACAAAGAAGTCATCAAGCAGGAAATTGCGCATTTTTTGTCCGAGATTTTCGTTGCTGTAGGAAACGGCCTTTTAGGCAGAGGGAGAAAGCAATGGACTCGCATACATCTGTGCAAGAGATGAACTTGTTGGGTGACCATCGAATCGGAGATACAACCGGGGGCCAACATCGACCATGTCCTCTTGCGAACCCCGTGGGAATCAAGAAACCAAACTCCTGAGTGGAAGCCCTGTGTCCTTGTAAAATGCATGGTTTATATATTGCAATTCCTATGTGGACGCCGCGGAATACTGTATCCAATACCATTCGACTGCCGGGAGCGAAAAGAAAAGAAGGCACATGGCCGTATCGATCGGATTGGATGCTAGTATGCATACTTCGCATTTATTGTCCATTGCGGGAACACAGAATATGTGGATGTGTGTCGAGGTTGCAGTTCTCCCCCCGGGTTATATCATTACCAGGGGTATTCAATGGCAGGAAAAATCCGACCCCCCCCCCCCTGTTTGTACGTACTCCGGGCGCGCAACTCAGATGCAAAGTTCATCCCCTCCCCGGGGTGCGGCACCGTTGATTTCCGATTTGGAAAGAATCAAGTGCATGTTGCCGGATTCTCCGGCTGAAGGGACGCCAATGCCGTACCTTTGAATGTTCTAACTCTTTCACTCGCGCTTGGAACAACCCCACGGAGCACCGACGCGGATTCTATCTACCTTACATGTGGGTGTGCATGCATTCTTGTGTGTGGTGTGCACGTATTACCTGTCACCGCTGTTCAGGCGCTACAGGACGTACTTGAGGGGCACAACACATGCCATCCTCTGCTTATACGGAGCACCTGGCATAGGTTGCATAAGATACCACACGCTCTTCGTCACATGTAAAACCTACAAGGGGTTTCGGCGGCTTGCGCCGCCTCGCTTAAGGAAGCGATTCCAACATGCATCTACTTCGTTTTTCCCGTAAAATACACGATCGATGAGACGTGGGCATGGGGGTAGATGTTGTTTGTGTGTGGCATGCTTTTCCCGACGTTCGTGTTCAAAAGTTGATGTGTTTTGAACGATGTTGACCGGCTCTTTAATGTCGCAGCTTTTCACCGAATATGTACCCGATATGAGTTTCCCACGTAAACTAGCCTAGACGAAATCAAAAGGGAACATCCACCCGGACGACAATCTTGACCGACGGGCTATGCCAACGACACCTCCGAAACACCAGCAGAGACTATACCCGCATGAGCAAATGCGTAATCGTTCGAACTAGAAGACAGGAAGAAGATTGCCATGAGTGACGAAACGACAGGAGGCGATACAACGCGACAGCGGTGTCTATACCCGCCAACAACACACACACAGACGGGTGACGACCTGACGACTCAAGATCGAAACACAAAAACCCGCTTCTACGTATAGTAAGGGGTAGAGAGAGGGAGAGAGAGGAGAGAGAAAGACCGTGCATATACGGACAATAATCCATTTCTCTGTGTGCGCACACTTGGATGACTGCAGCACGGTCGATGGTAGATTGCGGAGAGCATGGATGCGAGCAGCTGCCTTGGGCACGGGGATGTGGCTACTGATCAATGCTTGAAAACAATGAAACAGCGTGCGAGGTGCGGGCGAAAGCAATGAATGAATGCAACGCTGACGGGGTGCAGAGCCCGGATGCACTGGGTGGGTGCCATGGGGCCCAAGACAGCGACAACGGCCACAGCCGTCGATTGTACTTGAAGTGAGAAGGGAGAGCAACGAACGACAGGGCGGACCTAAAAACAAAACGCGAAAAAAAAGGCAAAATGGGTGCATGCGCATGCGCCCATGCGCCCATACATTCCAAACGATGCAGGATATATTCGGAGACAACACGTGAGACTCACCAAGGATGGCGCTTGCCTCTTCTTCCGGACGATGGTCTTACAACCCTTCTCCTTCGGAGTCGTGTAGGACTTGGACGAGGGTTTGGTGGCCTTGGCGGCCGTGCGCCCACGGGTTTGGTGATGATGGGCTTCATTCGCGTTGACCTCGGAATGGACACCCCTCGCCGCAGAACGACCTTGGACGCAGCGGGCGGAGGACATCGCGACGAGTAAAGAAGATGGAGAGGCGGAGAGTGAGAAAACGGGGTCCAAAGGGAGCACGAGAGGGGGATGAGAAGGAATGAGCTCGGGCAAAAGCGTGCGCGCGCTTGCAAATGAGAGCAAGTTGTGAGGCCACTTCCTCGGACCCATAAACCCACACGAGCACCACCCAAACTGTTCGCAGACACCATGAAAACGGCTATACTATCGGGCAGTTGTCACCTTCGCGCCAGATAACCGCCGGGTCGCACGTCCTCCACAACGTTAACCAGGGCGCGTGCTGCAGGCTGGCTCTGACGACGGACTTTCTCGTTCTTCATCACAGAAAAAAATAATAGGAAGGTTTGTTCGAAGAGCAGATAGAATAAACTGGTGTTAATTTTGTAACAGTCGAATTAGAATTTGGCTTCATTTTCTATCGGAAACCCAGGGTCACGGTGTTTGGATTTATTATTGTAGTCTATAGGTGGGGATGTCATTCCGTGATCGAGTCCACGCAGGGGCTGTAGCAAAGTCGGGTAACGTGTGAGAGCTACAGAGCGCGTGAAGCAACGGAAGGATAGCAGCAGCCGCCTAACGCAGTAGCGGCGGCAGTTTAGATAATGGACGGGACGGGACGCGGCGCAAGCATTGGGGAAGCGACCAGCGCGCGCTCGGGACCCTCGAGTCTGAGGGTAACCTAGCGAGTACAATATCCGGAAAACTCACGGCTGTGCAACATTTTCATACTTGTAGGCTGGAAGCTTCGGTCGAGCTAGACTTGTCGTCTCCGATGTTGAAATGTGCGCTAAGGGGGATGGCGAGGAACCACGTGGCTATGGGGACGGTACGCCGTGTGCGCCTGCCTGTGTTATGGCGTATGCCGCTGGACGGGGAAAGCGCAAGGCAGAACTGGGGGGAAGGGGGCAGAGTGATGTGGCTGTGTCTGTGCCTGTCCTACCTCTTCATCACACGGTCTGATGAGGTGTTCGCGAATGACGCGGGCAGGGTGCATGAGGCACACCGTCTTACGAGGGTGGACAAATCATTGTTTGCCGACGGGGGACGCAACTAGACTTTAGTCACTGTCGTAGAGCAGACCGTGTCGAAATGAGGTTTAGAGGGCACAAGGCCGATCAAGAGCAGAAGGCAACATACGGGTTCGTACGCGAGACGAAGTCACCGGACCGCAGTCAGGTGTGAGAGCACGCGGCGGCGCGGTGGCTCTTGTGGTGGAGCTATTGTCGTGTCATGCGACGTTGCCTGACTCCGCTCCGTTGGCTCCGTACCGTAGTGGAAGAGCAGTGAGAGTAGTGAAGTATAGTGCTGCCCTCCGTGCAGTAAGAGAAGTGGTAGCGAAGTCGGGGCGTAACCCCCAGGAGTACGCGTTGCACTCGTTGCGAATTGGAGACGCGACGGCTCTTGCATCGGGCGGAGACATCGCAGAACGAGTGATTCAGAGAGAAGGGAAGTGGAGGTGGAATGCCTACAAGCCGTATGCGCGGAACAATGTAGAGGATTCGCGGCGAGTGTCACGGAACTTACAGACGGCAGCAGGAGTGTATTGAGACAGCCGGGGGAGGGGACCGTATGGGGAACGCATAGTTGAGTTAGTCGGTAGTCGTCCAGAAACTGACCTCGATGTGGGTGTTGTAGAATGGTGTGTACCATTTGAGGACTTGGTCAGTTTTGGGACTCCTGCGGTTGCAGTCGTAGTCCCCCGGCTAGTATTTATGGGGAGAGAGATGGATTTGTAAGAGTTGACACCGGCCTTCGCAGCTAACGCGGCCGGAGAGACGATGAGCGTTTCGTGCGTCTCTCTCCCCAACACGTAGCCTAGAAACCGAAGAAATAATGAAGCAATTCGAAAGAAAACAAAATAAAAGGAAGGTTTGTTCGAAGAGCAGATAGAATATACTGGTGTTCATTTTGTACCAGTCGAATTAGAATTTGGCTTCATTGTCTATCGGAAACCCGGGGGGTACTTACATTATTGGGAGCCCACGTGGGACGTCCCATGGGACATCCCTGGGATACAACACAATTAACACACGCTGAGAGAGGGGTTCCTCAAGACGCATGGCCCATTGCACGAGACTTGTTGTTGTTTTTCTTCACATTAAACTCGTGTCAGTTGCTAATCCCAAAATCTAGCAAAGACTCGGCCCGTGGTCACAAAAATGCTAAAGCCATCGGAAGATCTAAAGAACACGCGCACACTATTAGCAAGAAAAGGGTACACAAGCCCGAGGAGGTACACCTACAATCAATCCCTGCAGCACGTTTGCGTGCTCACAACTGAACTACACGCCCACACACTACAATTCGCCTACAGCAGGCGGCATCACCCCCCTTGTCCCGCACTTCACCAAAATGAATGTTTGTCGACTACAGCGTACTGCTGTCTGAAGTGCTGTCTGTACAAAATAACACCATGGTGTATGGTGCACAACAAGCTCGGGGCATGCAGCTGCTGTCTGAAGTGCTGTCAGAATGGTCCCGTGGACACACAATGAAGAAGAACAACCAACCAAAGCCATCATTGCAATTGACAATCGCCCGAATCTATCCAGATCATCTGTGTTAGACACAGCAGTGTAAACATCGGCACTGACTAGGAATCGTTCCACATTGAAGGGGTCTTCCACGATGCAGGTACACAATTAAGGCACCCGGGTTATCCGCGCCATCTCTGCCGCGTCTCTCTACAAAACCAGTGACGTCATTACACACACCTAACACCTATATTCAGGAAAAAAAAACGGAAAATAATTGACAACACAAGAGATGTTTGTCCGTGCGACACGGTTCGATGCCGTCCGCATGCTCCGGTTCCGCTGCTGCTGCTCCGGTGCCGCTGCTCCGGTGCCGCTTCTCCGGTGTCGCTGTGGCCAGTCCTAGCACGACCAAATTCGACCCGCTCCGCTTCGTACACGCTCTCGTTGCTGTCCTTCCCAGTCTGTCCTTCCCAGTCGGTTCCTCGCTTTCTCCCTCGTTGCACTTAGGGTTCTTGGTCTGAAAATTCTCGCGCCGAAGGGTCAACCAGCCCAGTCAGCTCGTCACCACCTGTCCCCTCCTCATTTGATGGCAAAACCAGGTTACTGAGACAGTACAGCTCCCTCTAGCAAGCATAGGGCCGTGTACATAGTGCCCGTCCACCTTTCTGATGGCGTCTGCCTCCGCGCACAAAGATGAGATGGGCATTGCTGCCTGCACCGACGGCCTCGAGGCCCGCGCATCTGCACCTTTGTACCTGACGCACCAGTGCCGACCCAACTCCACCACTACGCACGCCTTGCGGCGGGTGCGCCGTAGCAAGAAGGTATCGGTCCCTTGAGGATGAGTCTAGAAAGACCCCCCCCCTCGCTTTGGGTCATGCCTAAGCAAAACCTTGCCGAGGCAGCGAGGGGAAGAAGGGAGAGTGTTGGTTACACATTGATAGACAGTAGATCTTTAGGGGGTACTAGGGTAAGGTGGCCGCCCGCCGTAGGCGGCGGGACGGCCACCCGGATATACGCACGAAGAAGGTCAATGAATGACTTGTGGATGTGAAGTGCTGGAAATAGAAAGGAGGATGCAGGTTATGTCTATTAAAGGAGGATGTGGGCAATGATGATACATCCCGCGACTTTGTTCACGACTGCAATTGAAGCGCAGTGACTTATGAGGGGCGATGAATGTGTAATCCCCATAATTTAATGAAAAGATCATTGGAAAGTATGCAGGATGGGCAGGCGGATGAATGACTCGGAAAGAGTCATCGGTGACGCCGCACTTTTGTTTCTGCAACGGAGTATTGGTGGTGAGTGTAATGCGCTCCTTGATAAGAATCAATGGTGAAAAGAGCAAGAAAACGGTGCTACCCGGTGTAGAAAGAAAGTGACGAAGATGATGTCGTGAAAACTTCGAAAACAAAATCGCAATCGTGCAAGAAAGAATCGGAAAAGCCCTGAAGATGGAAGGGCAAAAAGCAGAAAATCCCGATTGCTATGCTACAGCGAAAGAAAGCGAAAAAAACTTACAAGGAAAACGCGCGCACTCATATACGCACCTCGGCAAGTACCGACTCTACAGTAAGGAGTACATACGAAGCACCTACGTAGGTATGCAACGAAAACGTACGGGCCACCGCCGGGCGAGTGACGTCCAAATCCTGATGCTGTGTCCAACCCCCCGCCGTCGGGCGGCTAAAGAAGAATCAATCTTCTTCATCGGAAGACGTGTCGTCGCTGGACGACGAAGCTTCTTCCTCGCCGGATGACGAAGCTTCACCCTCGCTGGATGATGAAGAAGTCGGGTGTTCCTCGTCGCTGTTGTCGTCGATGGATATGATGTCAGGCTCGGGTGCAGACGAAGGTTCCTCGTCGTCGTCGCTGTCGTGGTGGACGGCTTTGTCCTTGGACTTACCGTTACCCTTGCGCTCGCGCTTGGTGTTAGTGGACGCTTTGGCCGCTGAGGAGCCGATCCCATCCATGGGTTCTTGTTTGATGGGTTTGCGGTTGATGCAGCAGGGGCGGTGAGATGATTGTTAAGCCGAACTTGCGCAGAAATGGCGTTCATCAGTACCGTTTTTCCTGTGCCGGCACGCCCTTTGATGTCGAACGTGTAGGCTTCATCCGATTGGCAAGCGTTGACGATGGTGTCGAAAACAAGTCGTTGCTCATCCGTGAACATAGCCAACTCACGCAAGACGGTGTCGACGTCCTTGTCACGATGATCCAATAGTTGAGCAACTCGGGCCCTCTGAAGCTCGGAGTCCTCTAAAACAAATCCCTCAGGCACGTTAAGCCCTAGATGTTGGACGCTTTTGCATCCCTCAGCGAGAAGGTGCCGTTGCAGACATTGTAACAGTTTCAAAAGTCTGGCGGTCTCGCTCGGGTGGTTCTCTATCCATGCCGGCTCCATCATGTGCGTGTGGTATGTGTCGAAAGCAGCAGCAACCGGCTTTGCACCGACGACGAGCAGGATGAATAGACTCCGAAGTTGACGAGGTGAAGCATTGTTTTCGATTGCTTCTTGCAAACACAGAGATGATTCTTGAGTTAATGGGTCATCCAGAAGGCCGCGGGCACGGCAGGTGTCTTTGAAAGATTCGTATGTCGTGTCGCGGTGGGTTCTTGCTTCCAGAAAGCTTCTTGGGGTACACCCTCCACGCTTCAACAGCAGCCATAAATACCACACGTCCCCTTCTGTGGGTTTGGGCGCAGCCAAGAAGTATATTTTCGTAATCTGAGTATGATGAAGAATGAGAGGGAGACAAATGTATGTTGTTAGCAACAATAATGTTTGGATAAGGCGTGTTAGGCTAATTCGAACGATGAGAAACGGCAATTGGGCATACCTTGGTTGTAGCTCGTCGACGGTACACAAGCAGTGCGTGATTGTCGTCCGGCCATTTGTTCTCTTCCCAGTGGTGACCATCAGCGTACGCAGGTGGTGAAGAGGACATGCCGAAATTAGATAGGTAGGTGATGATGTCCATGGTATCGAAGATGATGTCCAGCGGGCGGTGGAAGTATCTTTCTAATGAACTGGGCTTGGGAACTGACCCGTCACGCCTCACGTGTGTAGCGTCCCGTTCGCTGTGCAAGAGCACTCCTGGAAATGCATATGTTGTTGGTGAATGTTGTGAGTTACGGATGTCTGTGATATGCTTCCACGCCATGACGCTTTGACTCGTTAAAAGTGGTCGGATACGTGTGATGACAATTTTGTTTCGTGCATTATAATACATGTGTGCGGGCGAATGAATAAGCGATATCTTCATGAAATTCTTACCCTCAGCGCATGGTTGTCGGAAATGCATTTGCTTGATGATGCATTTCCACGCGGCTTCTGTCGCTGTCAAACATCTGAGTGATTTCCAGTCTTTGATGGTGTCGACGTGATTGCGTCGTGATTCCGTTATGGCGAAGTCCGAACGATCCGAAGGCTTGTAAATGTACCTTGAATGCAGTTGACCGTTTTTAAGAGGGTTGTGTCAGGAGAAAGCAGTGTGGATGCGCAGGAAACATTCGCAACGAAAAGACATCACATTGCAATGAATTTTTATCAAAGCACTCACGCGTATACGTAGGAGATGATGTTGGCCATGGTGCACACTTCGATGTTGATGTGGGCGAAGAAAAGGAGTAGAAGAATGGCATTGTAGGGAACAATGTCGGTGTCTTGTTCGGACCGTTTGTATAGCGGGTAACCTCTGGAGCCGAAAGTTGTAACGCTCTGAGGAGGTTTAGGAAACCTCTTGGAGCACGTTGTTTGACCGTCCCTGTAACACACCCGATCGATGGTGCTTTTTGCAGTCCTTGTGCGTCATGAAGGTTTGGACGATGTTGTGCAGTTCAGGTTCGGTGACAGGGTCTGGCCATGTAGCTCTGACAATGGCGTCAACGCGCGATGCGGTCCTCGGGGCGTGTTCTTCGGACACTGCAAGAAGAACGGTTGACCGTGCACTTTGGAGTTCAAGATGGAATCATTTTGGAATGGCGAGCTATACGATGTGGTGATTCCTGGTTTACGAATTGATATGGACGCAAAATTGTTGTGAATGCATGGCACTGAGAGTATGCGCACGGGTTTTACGCAAGGAAATTGTCGCACCTTTGACGATGATGTGCGCATGCGGAAGGCCTCGCTTCTGGACGTTCGTGAAGGGCGCACATGCGAAGGTGGTAGGAAAGAAACATAGTCGAGGTTGGATCCGGCAAAGAGTGCTATATTGGTGGTTGACGTGTCATAATATGAACATGAACGTCATTAGAACTTCGAGAACACCAGATGGTACACGACAGAGTTTCATATTGGGAAGGACGTGGCGATTGGTTTCGACGTGTGGCATATGCAGACGAACGTCACCTGAAATTCGATGACACCTAGGTGGTACACGACGGATCCTAGAACCTTGGGAAGAACCTGGCGAAAGAAAACAATGGAGTCGAATGAGAGAAATATATTAGGGATGTATGACGGAGCGGGAATATGTTTGCATGCGCATGGTGGATATGTCACGCAAGATATTGAACTACAGGGTGCGGGGATGAAGTTACCTTGATGAGCGCGTCAAGCTTCAATTTGAATATTCTGGGGCATAAAGCTGGTCGGTCGAAGGCTGTTTGTCCCGGGTGAAGTTCTCGTTCAATCTCTGGCCAGTTCTGCGTCACAAAGCGGAGATAAATACATCAGGGCGTAAATGGTTGGAATGCATACAGTGATACATCAAAAAGACATGTTTTACCGGAAATGAAGTCGTTGGTGGATGACATTAGATCATGTACTGTTTTATGCGGTGATGCAAACGGAGACAAATACAGCATAGGGTTTACCTTGTTGCATGTGAACGTGATGAAGTAGTCCGGAGGTCCCGAGTGACGGAGGATGGCCATACCCTCCGTCGCTTTTTTCGCTTTATGTGCGAAGCCGCTGGTGCAGGATGCGGGTATTATGCAACGGCTTGCTGATGTCGTTCCGTTGATGACGTGGCGCGGAAGACGATGTTGCCCAGATGCGTTGTGCAGGGACGAGGTATATTTATCTTGGTTGTTGGCGTGGAAGGCGAGACGTTCATCCTCGATGCAGCTGAAGACGTCGATGAGGAACTCGTTGACGACGGGGCCGAGTCTCTGAAAGCGTGACTCGGTGAGCAACAACTGTGTAACCCACTGAAGCATTGTGATTTTTTTTCCGGTAGTGCTGACAAGGTCAGGGTGCCATCCGCAATCTTTCCCGTGGGGAAACAATAAAGGAAATGTTAAGGGAAAGTAGTCTTGGTCACAGCAATGCAAGTACTCCTTGTCTCCGGTGAGGGCGATGGTCATCGTTTTGCGGTCTCGTGGAAGAACTCCACGACTTCGCGTGTCGACGGAAATCATCTCTCGAGTCGGATCCATGGGTGTGGAGAAAGACACCGTGTCAGGTCTGCGTCTGTGCACAACCAATAAACACGCGATACATAACAACACGCGATACATAACAGTTTAAGGAACAGCTGGCACGGCAGTAGAGCAACGATAGACTGATAGCATAGCATGTAGATGTATTTGTGATTTCACAGTAGAAAGGGTCATGGTCACACCTGTTGCTATGGGCGAGTCGTAGTCGCGAAATGTAAGGGGAAACGGATCGCAGTCCCTTCAACAGTCTTCGCAAAACTGTATCGTCCATGTCTTCTGAAGTGTACGCCGGGTCGTGCAGTAGCCACTGTATGTTGCTGTGATCGCCCTCGCGAGTGTTATGATATGTCCTGCGCGTAATAAATAAAAGGATGCACGAACAGATTTCGCAGTTGAAAGTGTCATGCGCACAGCTGTTGCTATTAGGTCGTACTGCGATATGTAAGGATATACGGACCACACTTCATACAATAGCCTTCGCAAAAACTGTGCTGGATTATATAATAAAACAAACAATTTTTAGTGAATTCCAGTGTGTAAACGTCTCACCTTCCTTGGACGGACAGGAAATGAGGTCCAAACATCCTCTTTAACTCTCCGTCTTCGACGCACATAGCGCAGAAGTTCGAGGATGAGTTATATTTGCGACCCATTCGACGGAATCTTTGAAATCGTTCCGCGTTCCCTTCATAAAGTGGGACGAGCTCTCTTGGTGGCGGTGGTAGGGGTGTCAAGACCAATTGTCCGTTACTGCAGCAAATGCCACGAGATTCACCTGTAGAAGCACAGGTGGTTGGCATGTCATTAACTATAGTTGTAGGCTGTGGCTTATAAGAACAGACGAGTGTAAATGATCGGCGTGAGGGGAGATTGAATTTGACAGTTTCATGGATATATGCCGGAATATTGCAAAGTTGGAAAACTCACCTTTGAACAACTGAGCACCGCAGTGTTGGCATGGGGAAGCAATATCAACGATGATGTTGGCAGCCCATTGTGCGGTGTTGATGATGTCGTTCCGTGCATCCAACGTAAATGCTCTCTGTTCTTCGTTGCACTCTGGACGAAGCAAAGGTAGTTCCCAGAACTGGGAGATGGTGGTGGACATGTTAGGACTACGCACGTATGTTGATCTAGGACGGGCGTTGTCGTGTCTGACATGTTGCTCATTAATTTGTCCCCCGCGACTGCTTCCATCACGTGAATTTCTGCGACAATTGAGTGTTTCGTTCCTCCTCGCGCGTCGAAGTCGTTGTTGTTCGTTGCGTCGGTTCTGTTGAGCTCTCGAGTATTGTCGTGTTGACGGCATCGGAAACGGCAGTGGAGGTGTGTGTGTGTGCCGCGTATATGATTGCGGCGGAAATGTAGATACGTAGATGCGTAGATGCGTAGATGCGTACTGTAGATGCGGGTAAACAAAATATGCGGCGGAAATTTTATTGGCGAGGTTGTGCGCAGGAAATCCGTATATTTGCCCGTATGCGGCAGCGGGCATGGGGCATCTGAATGCTGTAAATCTGCAGTGAGCATGGCCAATTGTAACTACTTGTCATGATGTGACGACGTTTGATGAATGCATAAAGGGTGGCGATGTTTGTGTTGTGTAATGTCACGTCCATGCGCGTCGATGCATGCAGAACGTGTACGTGGATGTTGGGAAGCACACAGCGGCTGAGGTCTACTTTTATTGGCGAGGTTGTGCGCAGGAAATCCGTATATTTGCCCGTATGCGGCAGCGGGCATGGGGCATCTGAATGCTGTAAATCTGCAGTGAGCATGGCCAATTGTAACTACTTGTCATGATGTGATGACGTTTGATGAATGCATAAAGGGTGGCAGATGTTTGTGTTGTGTAATGTCACGTCCATGCGCGTCGATGCATGCAGAAGGTGTACGTGGATGTTGGGAAGCACACAGCGGCTGAGGTCTACTTTGGCGAAGGTCTCAAAGTCGGTGTCATAATGAGCAAGGCGTCATTCCTTTGGTAGGAATCATAAAGTGCACGTGATGAACGCACTTGCGTGGTTTCAAGTCGTGATATGGAGTATTGGGCGAGAGAGGCCAAAAAAAAATCAAAAAAAAAAAATTCTAACCCCATATGAAGCGGATGCATTCATTAATCAAGATGTGGGACTCATTAGCCGAATCGTGATATAGACCTATAGACCTTCATACTCGAGCCGTGAGAGGCCGCCATTTGGCCTTCCTGCGCTCTCGGCGCCCTAGAGCTGTTTTTTTGCGATTTCTCCGCCTGTGGACCTCGTTGCGCCGCCGGACTTGCGCGTGTCGGTAGCCTCGAGTCGCGAGGGGCGTGCCCGCGTGCGGCTCGCCATCGGTACGGCCGTGGCGTCGTGGTGGCAAGGTCGCAAAGTCGCGTCTACGAGTTCTCCGGTCGCCCCCCCAATCACAGCCGCGATTCTTAAAAACGTACAGTCCCGCCCGCCCACATGTCCTGCAGAGGTAGGTGTTTCAGGCGCATCATTCGAGTTTCGGTTTTGGAGTGGAGTGCTTCCTGAGATTGCCCGTGATGTTTTGGAGCGTATCGACTGTAATTCCCCGCCGGGCGGAAATATATATCCCTGTTGCGGTCAAATGTTCCTCCGGTGCAGCCCGCGCGTCAAATTCGCTGCTGTGAGGTGTGCGTGTCTGGCGTGTACGTTTTGTTCATGGAAGGCACACACCAGTACTGGAGGCACAGCCTCAAGTGTCCCAAACAACGCTGAACGCAATGGTTGTCGATCTTACTCCATGGTACACTCAACAGCTGTCAGAGTCTGAATCGATTCGCCACCGCAGTCGAGCAAACTGCCCAGTGGTGAATAGCAATTTTGTTTGCTTCGTCGGGGAATTTGTTCGGCGACATTTTCTGGATTTTTTGCCAGTGGCTTGCATATACGATTTTCGCGGTCTTGACGCCAATTCGCGATCTCTATTTCGCTAGATGAATGGCTGGCCGCAGCGGCAAAAAAAGAAGGGGGTCAAGGTGATTTATGAGCGGCGCCCAACACAACTGCAGAGTAGCTCCAACAGTAGGGCACGACCAGCGGAGAAACGGAGAAAAGTGGGACATTTCTCTCAGAAAATCCCCGCGGGCGGCATCGCAGCACCCGTCCACTCCACTCGCTGCACCTACGCACTCTACGTCTGAGAGCGCATCCATGTCTAAGTTTTTCGACAAGTCCCCTGCCAAGAAGCAAAGGCCCGCTCAGGAGACTGCCAGTAGCGGCAACGTCTTCCTATTCATATCATCTTTCCTCGAACATCGCCCACTTGGCATCGCATTGGGCCTTTGCGAAGCGGCGGGCGGGCCGCCGCGAAGCCCTTGTATATATATATAATATAATTTTCGGAATTACAGGGGGGGGGTCTATAACAGAACCTCGGGGATAAAAGCGAGCAACGGCAGCAGAACAATATTACTGCTGCTGTGAAGCGGAGCGCGGTGCTGCTGCTTGGTACAGGTCGCTGGGTACTGCTGTAGGGAAGAGCAGCTGGGGTGGTTGGCAGTTGAGGTAGCGTAGAGGAGGTTACAGTTGCATAGTGTGTATTCTATAGTCTACTGCTTTCTTTCAGCTCGGAAAAGGAAGAGAGAGACAGCAACGAGCCAGCCCAGCCCAGCAGCTCGCGAGCTGCACCCGACCGCAGAAATGAAAGAATGCACCCGCGTTCGTACCCGCCTCCGGGTGTGCACTTGTAGCCTTGCTTTCCGCCTTAGTTCCTCCAGCTTCGGAAGTAGAGATGTAGTGCAGCAAGCTTATGTACCCTGTGGTCTTCTTATTGCAGCTCCATGATTTACCAACGTGAGACGGTCTCCAAGCCATACGGCGTACGTACGGGGTGACACAAGATACCACACACCCAACACACCCTGGACCGATTTGAAAAGCTCCACCCATCCACGACGCAGAGGATGTTTCAACGCCACCCAACGCCACCATTTGAGGCACCGCCACAATTACTTCTGTGGAGTACATCCAATCTTTGAAAATCGGTTTGAGTATGTGGTGTCTTGGTACCTACTGCAACAGTCACAGCAGTGCGCTTCATAAACCCTGTCTCCCGCGGTCTGTCTGCCCTGTCAGCTTCGCAGCCTTCATTTTTCGTTTTCCTTTTCCCTCGAAGCACTTGGGGTGCTGTTCTCGTGAGCCTTAACTCCTTGTTGGGCTACAGTACAAGCTAGAGATTGTATCACATTTATATTGGGCTGGAGCTGCCTGGCTTCATAGTCTACATGTATGAATAAAAAAAGCTGCCGACGTACTGCCCTACCCGCCGTCTACGTGGCTCCGCGAGAAAAAGAAATGATGAGGGACTGCACGGAGAGGTGGTACAGGTGAACGGTGCACGGAGAGGTGCTACAAGTGAACCGTTGCCTGATTCTGCGACTCGTTTCCTCTCGGTATCACAGTCGTGCTACTGCTGTCACCAGTCATTTTTGTCACT